TGTGGGGAGAGGCAGTGCCCGCAGCCGTGGCGGGCTCAGCACCTAGCCCACCCGCACTGGAAGCAGGGTGGGGGTGGGGGGGGCGGTGCCTGTGCGTGTGCGGGGCGACCCTGGGCACGCTCAACAGAGGCCAGCCGGGGGCAGAAGGTGGCGGGCTGTAGCCCTGCAGCGCCTCCCGCCTGCTCGAAGTTAATCTTTCTTTACCCTGGGGGGGTCGTGTCAGCACCTCTCCTTGGCATTCCACACCCCTGGTTCTCAGCAGAGCCCGCGTCCTCTGTCGCACCTCGCATCCCTGAAGGAGGCGACCCTGCCTGTGTCTGTGAACGGCCCACAGGCTCAGGCAGCCGGGCCATGCCACGGGGGCACTGGCCATCACCGCGGTCATGAGTGGGGAGAAGGCCTGAGCGCCCCGCTGCACGCTCGCCGAGCATGTGGCTCAGCCGTTGGGTCCCAGTGCAGCGGTGCCACATTGCCCAGGTGGCCAGTGTCCTCGTAGTATGCCCACCCGTGGGCAGAGGCGGACGAGAGACAAGTGGACAGATGAGTGACCCAGTGGCCTCCAGCCCAGACAGGTGCACGGGCAGATGACGAGACAGCTGGTGACAGACCTGTGTGGTCGGTGGCTGGGCTGGGTTCTGAGGAGGAGCCGTGCTGGGAGGCAAGGCCTGGAGGAGGCTGGGGCAGCTCAGTGCCTTCCGGTGGGAGTAATGCGTGCGTGGACTTCCTGCGCCTTCTCCCCCGGAAGGGCACACAGAGTGACCCCTATGCTGCAGAAAAGGGAGGGGCTTGGCCTGGAGGCGGCTTGTGGCCCCATTGCCTGCAGGTGCCAAATCGCACACTCAGAGGGAGGCAGGTGCTTGTTGCGAGCCCATCGCAAAAACACTCCAGCCGGGCTGATGCCTGCACTAGGGAATGCTTCACGGTGGTGTCGGGAACATTTTAGAAGCTGAGCTCCCAGGTGCCAGCCAGGGCCCAGCCTGGCACATCCCAGGCCTGCCCTGTGGGCCGTCTCCTGCCTAGCACATGGGCGTGCGATGCTAGTGAAGCTCCCAGCCGTTAGAGGCAGGACGTGGGTCACCTGAGCTAAGGTGGAGGCCGATCTGGAAAGTCCGGGGACGCGGCACGCACTGGACGCTGGTCGGGAGCAGAGCTGAGCGTCCTTGTCACCAGCTGGGGCAGCAGGGCGGTGTGCACTGCGGCCTCTGTCCAGCCCAAGGCAGAGCATCGTTCTGACCACCCCAACTCGTCAGCACACCGCCCCCACCCTATGGGGCCCTGTGGTGGGCCCACCTTGCGTGGCCTGTACCACGTCACCCTGGGTCTCGGCTGGCGGGCCCACCACACATGACCCTCTCTTCCCCACCTTCGCTGTGCTGCGTTGGGTGGACAGTTGCCCACAGAGAACCCCGCACTGCTCGACGTCACCTGCCCACGTTCTTAGCTGCACATGCAAAGGCCCTTGGAGAGCAGCACTGGGCTTCCTGGGTGGCGTGAGCAGGGCTGAGCCCCTCCCGGCTGGACCTGACACCTTGGGCTGTGGGCCTGGGTTGGCACAGCCCCCGTCGGTGTTGTGGTCTGTCGTGCAGCACTCCAAGCCAACCTGGAGTTCTATGGCTGGGTGGTGTGTGGCTCCCATGACCACGGCGTGGGAGCAGGTTTCACGGGTTTCAGATCCGTCCGCATTTCCAGATGTGGGCTCAGTCAGACTGTGCAACGAGACAGCCCCGTGATGGGACAGCTCCAGAGAGCGACAGACAGAGCCAGGGCCAGGGAGGCCAGTCCCCACTCCTGCAGTCACATCTGGACCCTGATTCCAGCCTTTCGCCCCGACGGCCCCCAGCACAGGTGGCAGTGCCAGGCTCTCCCGCCTCGCTGCAGGACAGGGCTCGGTGACTCCACAAACCCCGGGAGCTGGGGAGGGCAGAGAGCTGTGTCGGCTTGCACGTCTGTGGTCAGAGTACGCTGTGGCCTGACCATGGCCGTGCCCAGCAGGGCTGTGCTGGCTGTGAGCGACAGTGCAGCTAGCCTGAAGTGGGGTGTCTGTCACGTAGCCTGAGCCAGCGTGGGTGTCAGGTGCAGCTTCACTCGGGCTCCATCGTGGCGCCAGCTTCTCGCTCTCCGCCTCTGCCTCCTGTCTGTGGGAGGCCGCCTCCTCGCCTGGACATCCCCCCGGGGATGCAGGTGCTGGCGCGTCACCGAACATCGCAGCCTGTATCACACCGAGGACAGGGCCTGCCCTCTGTGGTGACCTCCCCGGTCCCCTGAGGCTGGGCGCAGCCCATCACCACCAGCCATCACAGCCAGGGTGCGTGCTGCTGGCGGGCGGGCCCCGGGCGGCCTGTGCAGGGCGAGGGTGAGCCAGCACAGACTCCGTCATGGAAGACGCGGGGCGCTGCCGAAGAGGGGAGGGCGGCCCTGTGGGCGGGTGGTTGGGGAGCAGGTCCCTCGTGGCTGGGCCTTGGGGCGCGTGTGTGTGTGCACAGATCCTGACAGGGCGGGGAAACGGAGGCAGGACGGCAGCAGGGCCGTGACCCGCGGGCGCCTCCTCTCTCGGCCTCTCTCCCCGGCGAGTACACCTGCATCCTGGCAAACAGGCCAGCAGATGGGGGACACCCCGCCCCGGGGGCTGACGTGCCCCGACCCTCGACATCCTCCCAGGTCAGGACAGGGCCATCAGGAGTTGCCCTGTGGTCCGTGAGTGCACCCGGCTCCCGCTGCCCACTGACAAGCCGGCACCGTGCTCGCCGAGGCCCCCTTTCCTGTCGCGGTCCAGAAGCCCAAGATGCAGATTTGAGTCCGACGTGAGTCTCACCCTGCTGGGCCCTTGGCCTCCTGGTCCTCCCTGGTCCCTGGTTCCCCCGCCCCCTGTACCCCCTGGTCCCCTCTGTCCCCTGGTCCCCCCTGGTCCCCCCTGCCCCCTGGTCC